TCATTAGGATCGAGTCAGTTAGAAATACCAAGGGTTCACACAAAACAAGGGGAATGTGCTTTTAGTTATTATGCCGCCCACAGCTGGAATCAGCTTCCAGAAGAGATCAGATGTGCTAAAACATTAGCCACATTTAAATGCAGACTCAAAACTCATCTGTTTAGCTGTGCATTTATTGAATGAGCACTGTGCTACGTCCGAACTGATTGCACTGCATTTTATGTTTAATCGTTTTCTTAAATTCATTTTAAACCTCTTAAATCAAATTGTTTTTTTTTTCAAAGTTTTTAAATTCCTTGTTTTATTGTTGTGATTATTGTTTTTATTTTATTTTACGTAAAGCACTTTGAATTACCATTGTGTATGAAATGTGCTATACAAATAAACTTGCCTTGCCTTGCCTTGCCTTGCCTTACTATGGCTGACAAACGATCATCGGAAAACACTTACAGACATAGATTAAATTAATTAAATGTGTAATCGTTTCATAATTCTCCTTATTATTAACTAGCCTGCATTTAAACTGAGCATGCTGAAGAAACTCGCGTTTGTTATCCAGCTCCGCTCCCGTGTGTTGCCTAAAACAGCATCTAAATAAAATGAACATCATCTTCGACAACGTTTCCCTTGCCTTGCCTTGCCTTGCCTTACTATGGCTGACAAACGATCATCGGAAAACACTTACAGACATAGATTAAATTAATTAAATGTGTAATCGTTTCATAATTCTCCTTATTATTAACTAGCCTGCATTTAAACTGAGCATGCTGAAGAAACTCGCGTTTGTTATCCAGCTCCGCTCCCGTGTGTTGCCTAAAACAGCATCTAAATAAAATGAACATCATCTTCGACAACGTTTCCTGATTAAAATACGATGTATTGAATATTTTATCGATAAATGTGTACCTCTGACCGCTGGTGTGTTTCTCCTGCTATCAGCTGACGCAACTTCCGGTGGTGTCACCGTGACGTCTGACAGGCCACGCCTCTTTCACGCCTTGTTGATGTTATTGTTTATGACGCTTTGTTTTGACGTTTAGGTTTCGAAATCCATTGCTAGGATCTGACCATAAAGATAGCCAGAGCTACAATATACACTTCAATAGCTTACAACAAATGTTTGCAAGTTATTCCAATTCCAAAATCATTTATTAACATATTATGTTCTATTATGATTATGATTATGATTTTTATTATCATTATTATCATCATCATTAACAATAATAATAATAATAATAATAATAATATTTTCTTTATATGACAAAAGTATATAACTACTAATACTAATTGTTATTATTATTTAAATTGTAAATATTAAATTTATTATTATAATTAGTAGTAGTAGTAATAGTGGTAGTATTAGCATTATTGCTGTTATTGTTATTATTATTATTATTATTATCATTATTATCATAATTAATAATAATACTATTTTCTTTATATGACAATAATATATAACTACTACTACTACTAATTATTATTATTATTATTTATATTGTTAATAATAATGATATTATTATTATT